GTCACTCGTCTCTCTGACTCTCTTTGCGCAGTCAGGGACCACTTTCTCGCCCTCTGCCCCACCGAGCTCACCATTGACCCCCTCGAGAAGCATCTGCTTGCAGCTGAGTCTAGCCTAGTTGCTGTAGGTGCCTCTCGTGGCGACCCCCGCACGCCCTTCTTTGACGGGTGTTCCCCTCCCCCCCTTCTCCCCTCGGTTGCCTCTGCTGCCGCTGTCGACTTCCTTGGTGCTGAGGACGTCGGGGTTGCGTCTGCTCCTAGCTGGAGGCGCAAGGGGGGCAAGGGTGGTGGTGGTGCTAGCGAGGGGGGGTGGAGGTGGAGGTGGCGGCGGTGGGGGCGGTGGGGGTGGTGGCGGTGGTGGGGGTGGTAGCGGGGCTGGGGGGGTGGGTGGTAGCGGCGGGGGTGGTGGCGGAAGTGGTGGTGGAGGAGGCCGGGGTGGAGGTGGTGGTGGTGGAGGCAGTGGGCGTGGGGGCGGCGGCTCGGGTGGTGGTCCGCGTGGACCGGCGCAGCGTGGAGGTTCCGGTGGTGTCCAGCACCAGCAGCAACGTCTTGGAGAGACCCCATCGTCCCAGCAGCTTCGTGAGTGGTACTCTCAGCATGGGGGGTCTGGGGGCGGGGGTACCTGCACGTATGAAATCCGCACAGGTGACCGACCTGGTCAGACGTGTGGGAGGTTCCACACGCACAGCGCTGCTTCTTCCGTCTCGACGACGCCTGGCGTGCACACTTCCCTGAGGCCTCTGAGCTGCCCCGCTGGGCTGATATGCTTAAAAAGAACATTGATGTCTTATCACTTGACTTTGATGTTATCCTTGGAGCCATGTATGCATTGACTATTAGTGTTGAGGGTGACTGTTACTTGTGTGTGCCACCAGACCCAGGCATTGCGACCAGTGAGGCTGCCACTCTAGGTGCTAGTGTGTCTCCTGCCCCAGGTCCTGGTGAGGCTGCTGCTTTAGGTGCAGGTGTGTCTGCTGCTTCAGGTACTTGTGAGTCTGCGCCTTCAGGTACCACGTCTACTGAGGCACAGCACACCTTCACACTGGACTCTGGTGCTTCCCGCTGTTTCTTTCGCGACCGCACTGCCCTCGAGCAGCTCCCTAGGCCGGTTGCTGTCTCCCTGGCTGACCCCTCCGGGGGTCCGGTCCTTGCGACCTCCACCACTGCCCTCCCTTGTCCTGCGGTCCCGTCCGGCACCCTGTCAAGCCTTTACCTCCCCCCATTCTCTACGAACTTGGTGGCGGGTTCCGCGCTCGAGGATGCGGGTGTTCACCAGTTCACCCCTGCCTACGAGCGTGTGACACACTGCACGTGTGCCCAGACGGGTCGTCACCTGGCTACCTTCACTCGGTAGCCGGGGTCGGACTTGTACACACTGACCACTGAGTCCCCTCAGGTAGCGGCGTCTGCGTCTGCGTCAGGTCAGTTGTCCGCCCCCCTGCTCGTGTCGCACCCTGTCGCACCGAACGGTCCTCTGGCACCACCGCCTTGGGCACCCTTCGATGCAGCGCCTTCGTGGCATGCACTCCCGTTTCCTTGTCTCTGGTCTCCCCAGGTCACTGCCTCCCCTGCCATCGTCCCCTGCCCCTCCCTGCCTTCTCTGTGTCGAGGGGCGGCAGCGTGCCACCCCTCACTCCTCTGAGTTTCCCCCGACAGAGGCCCTCTGCAGATCCTTCACATGGACATATGGGGCCTAGCCCGTGTCCGTGGACCGGGAGGAGAGCGCTACTTCCTGCTCTTAGTTGACGACTACACGCGTTAAACCACGGTCTTCCCCTTGCGCACCAAGGGAGAGGTCCCTGCTGTTTTGATCCCTTCGTTCCACGCTACCTGTCTCCAGCTGGAGAGGCACTTTCGCACGGACCTTCCCGTCCTGCGACTGCACTCTGACAGAGGTGGTGAGTTTTCCTCCGGTCTCTTGGAGACCTTCTTTCAGGGGGAGGGCATTCGCCAGACGTTCACGCTTCCAGCCTCTCCTCAGCATAATGGGGTTGCTGAGCGCCGCATTGGCTTGGTCATGGAGGTCGCTCGTACCTCCTTGGTCCATGCGGCTGCCCCCCATTTTCTGTGGCCATTTGCGGTCCGCTACGCCGCGCATCAGCTCAACCTCTGGCCCCGTGTCTCCGTTCTGGAGACCTCGCCGACGCTGCGTTGGACGGGAGAGGTTGGCGATGCGTCTGTGTTCCGGGTCTGGGGATCTCGTGCCTTTCTCCACGATACGTCCGCGGACAAGCTCTCCGCCCACGCTGTTCCCTGTGTCTTCCTTGTCTTTGTCCCTGACGCGCCTGGCTGGCAGTTTTACCACCCCACCTCGCGCCGTGGCTTCGCCTCTCAAGACGTCACGTTTGACGAGTCGGTCCCCTTCTACCGTCTCTTCCCCTACCGCACTGCCCCGCTCCCCACCCCGCCGCTCTTCCTCACGCCAGTTGCTGCTTTGGTAGACCCCCTGCCTCCCTAGGGTCAGGTGTTTCCCAGGTAGACCCGGTCGAGCCTGTCGAGGTCGCTGTCGACTCTGGTCCTGTACGAGGTACTGAGCGTGCTGAGCCTGAGCGTGCTGAGCCTGGTGGTGCTGGGTCTGGGGGTGTGGAGACTGGGGGTGCTGAGCCTGAAGGTGTGGAGACTGGGGGCGCTGAGCCAGGGGGTGCGGAGACTGGGGGTGCTGAGCCTGGGGGTGCGGAGACTGCGGGTGCTGAGCCTGGGGGTGCAGAGACTGCGGGTGCTGAGCCTGGGGGTGCAGAGACTGCGGGTGCTAAGCCTGGGGGTGCTGTCCCTGGGGGTGCTCAGTCTGGAGGTCTTGAGCCTAGGGGTACTGCGCCTGGGTGCGCTCTCTCTTCCCAGTAGCTGCGTGAGTGGTACTCTCGGTACTGTCGCCGCCTCCGTGGTGCTACTGGAGCTGGAGCTGAGGGCGCTGAGCCTACTGGAGTTGGTGTTGCTGCTGACCCTGGGGTCGGCACTGGAGGTGCTGGAGCCACTGGTCCTGGAGGTGCTCGTACTAGCGGTATTGGAGCTGCTGGGACTAGGGGTGCGGCTGGAGCTGCTGGAGCTGGTCCTGCTGGAGGTGCTGCTGGTGCTGCTGGAGTTACTGGAGCTGCTGGTGCTGTTGGAGGTACTGGAGCTGCTGGTGGTGCTGCAGGAGTTGGAGCTGCTGCTGGAGGTTTTGGTGCTGTCTCTACTGGTTCTGGGGGCACTGCATGGCCGCGACCGTACTTCGTTCCACTCCTCCAGCAGGTTCTTGGTCAGCCGCCTCCTCCTTGTTCTGCTCCCTCCTTAGAGTGTCCTCTTGTTCGTGCTGCTCGCACTGGTCGCCGTGTTCCGCGTGAGCGTCCTCCACCTGTCCCTGGCACACACTATATGACTCTGCGTCCTTGCACTGCTCCACAGCGTGTCCCTCTACCGTCTCCTCCTGCGTCCTCTCTTCTTGTCCTTGCTGACCCGGAGTCTGACCGGGTTCGTGCTGCTAGTCCTACTATCTCGCGTCTCCTGGCCACCGCTGTCACTGACCCTTCCTTTGAGTCTGCTGCTGCGTCTGCCCTAGTTGTTGAGCTTGTCGACTTTGCTGCTCACTATCGTCTAGACTACGCCGCGAGTCTTGTCGCTGAGTCTGAGTCTGTCTGTCCTCCGTCCGTCGGGGGTGAGTGTGCTCTAGACACGGACGTCCTTGATGACAGACAGGAGGACCTTGAGTGTCTTGCAGCCGCTGCGCCTCATCTCGTGTCCATGCTACTTGCACCTGAGGGAGACCCGGATGCTCCAGACATCCTGACCCCGCGCTCTTACGCCGAGGCGATCGCGGGTGAGTACTCCTCTCACTGGCAGTCAGCCATGGACGCAGAGATGGCATCCTGGAAGTCCACTGCACTTACGTCGACGAGGTTCCCCCTCTTGGGGCGAACATTGTCAGTGGCATGTGGATTTTTAGGGTGAAGCGGCCGCCGGGTTCTCCGCCTATCTTCAAGGCTCGTTACGTTGCTCGAGGCTTCAGTCAGCGAGAGGGAGTAGACTTCTTTCAGGCCTTCTCCCCCACCCCGAAGATGACCACTCTTCGGGTGCTGCTGCACGTTGCTGCTCAGCGTGACTACGAGCTTCACTCTCTTGACTTCAGCACAGCTTTCTTGCAGGGCAGCCTGCACGAGGAGATCAGGCTGCGCCGCCCGCCTGGCTTCACTGGGTCGTTCCCTCCTGGTACCCAGTGGAGCCTCCGGCGGCCGGTCTACGGTCTCCGCCAGGCGCCACGTGAGTGGCACGACACACTGAGGACTACTCTTGCGGCTCTTGGGTTCGCGCCTTCTGATGATGACCCGTCGCTGTTTCTGCGCACTGACACGTTGCTGCCGCCGTTCTACATCCTCGTGTACGTCGACGACTTGGTCTTTGCCACTGCTGACACTGAGGCTCTCGCCCTGGTGAAGTCGGAGCTGCAGAAGAGACACACGTGCACAGACCTGGGTGAGCTATGCAGCTACCTTGGCTTGCAGATCACCTGGGACAGAGCACGCCGCACCATCACTCTGACTCAGTCACACATGGTGCAGCAGGTCCTTCAGCGCTTCGGCCAGCACCACCTTACGGCCCCTTACGGCCCCTTAAGGCCCCTCGCGTCGCCCTTACGGCCCTCGCGCGGCCCCTTTCGGCCCCTTGCGGCGCCCTTTCCGGCCCCTTACGGCCCCGTCTAGGCCCCTTGCGACCCCGCTACGGCCCCGTCTAGGCCCCTTACGGCCCCTCCGCGGCCCCATCTAGGCCCCTTGCGGCCCCGCTACGGCCCCGTCTAGGCCCCTTACGGCCCCTCCGCGGCCCCGTCTAGGCCCCTTGCGGCCCCGCTACGGCCACCAGCGGCCCCGTCGCCACCACCAGCGGCCCCGTCGCCACCACCTGCGGCCCCGTCACCGCCACCTGCAGCCACGCAGCCGCCACCTGCGGCCTCGCCGCCACCTACGGCCCCGTCGCCGTCACCTGCGGCCCCGTCGCCCTCCCCTAGCGGCCCTGTCACCGCTCAGCCGCCCAATGACCGAGCCGCCGAGCAGCCCAGCAGCCGAGCCGCCCTGCCGCCGAGCCGCCCAGCAGGCGAGCCGCCCTGCCGCCGAGCCGCCCTGCAGCCGAGCCGCCCAGCAGCCTAGCCGCCCTGCCGCCGAGCCGCCGAGCAGCCGAGCCGCCCAGCAGCCGAGCCGCCCTGCCGCCGAGCCGCCGAGCCGCCCTACTGTCGAGGCGCTGCTGTTCCTACCGGTGCTCCCCGGCCCTCCTTCCTCGGACTGGTGAGCTCACTTCCTGCTAGGCCACTGCAGTCATGGCTACCCCCAGTGTCCTTACTTTTGATGCTGAGGGCCGTGCCGTTGACTTTGAGGTCTGGGTCGATGACCTCCAGCTGTTTCTCCAGTGCAATAGGGCAGACGGATTCTCTCTGTTCGATCTCACCTCTGGTGTCTCTCCTGCCCCGACTGCCACTGCTGACAGCACTGTTCGCTCACAGTGGGCCACACGCGATGCTGCTGCTCGCCTTGCTGTGCGTCGCCACTTACCGACCACTGAGCGTGCACACTTTAGCCAGTACAAGAGTGCTCAGACCTTGTACGACGCTGTAGTTGCACGCTACTCTTCCCCTGCCACTGCTGCACTAAGCCGCCTCATGCTATCCTACATCTTCCCTGACCTTGCTGCCTTTCCCACAGTCGCTGACCTCATTACGCACCTCCGCACTAGTGACACTCGCTACCGCGCTGCGCTTCCTGCTGAGTTCTGCGCCAAGAACCACCCCCCCATGTACATCACCCTCTACTACATAGTGACCCGGCTCTCTGAATCTCTTCGAGTAGTCAGGGACCACTTTCTCTCAGTTTGCCCCACCACTCTCACCGTTGACCTCCTCGAGAAGGGCCTCCTAGCAGCAGAGAAGAGCATAGTCACTGTAGGAGCCTCTCGTGGTGACCCTCGCACCCCCGTCTTTGAGGGGTGTTCCCCCTCCCCCCTCTTGCCCTCTGTTGCTTCTGCTGCTGCGGCCGACCTCGTTGGTTTCGAGTCGGTCGGCGCTGCGTCTGCCCCTAGCGGGAGATGCCGCACCGGCAAGGGCAAGGGGGGCAAGGGCGCTGGAGGGGCTGGCGGGGGCGGTGGAGGTGGTGGTGGAGGCAGTGGAGGGGGTGGGGGTGGTGGTGGGAGTGGTGGCGGGGGTGGCGGCGGCAGCGGCAGCAGTGGAGGCGGAGGAGGCGTCGGTGGTGGCGGAGGGAGCGGAGGTGGCGGAGGAGGCGGAGGTGGAGGAGGCGGCGGAGGCGGCGGCGGCAACAGTGGACCTCGTCGCGGCTCTGCGCAGAGGAGTGGCTCCGGTGGTGGTACGCGCCAACAGCAGCGGAGCAGTCGTGAGACCCTGTCCCCTCAGCAGCTTCGTGAGTGGTACGCTGCGCGTAAGCGCGGTGGGGGTACGGGTCCCTGCACCTACGTTCCCCGCACCGGCGACCACGCAGGTGAGCAGTGCGGGGGCTTGCACTCCACCCAGCACTGCTTCGGCCGCCTGACGGACGAGTGGCGTCACCAGTTCCCTGGGGCCTCTGAGAACCCTCGCTGGGGAGAGCTGTCTAGGGCGGGGGTTGCTATCTTTGATCTTGATTTTGATGCTATTCTTGCTGCCATGTATGCTGTTGATGATAGTGTTGCGGGTGACTATTACCTGTGTGTACCGCTTGACCCGAGCATTGAGGCTGCTGCTCTAGGTGCTTGTGCGTCTGCTGCCCCAGGTACCAGTGCGTCTGCTGCCCCAGGTGCTAGTGAGTCTGCGCTCTCAGGTACTACATCGACTCAGGCCTTACACACCTTCACCCTTGACTCGGGTGCGTCCCGCTCCTTCTTTCGAGACCGCACCACTCTTACGCCGCTCAGTCGGCCGGTTGCAGTCTCCCTGGCGGACCCCTCTGGGGGTCCTGTCCTTGCTAGCTTCTCCCCTGTCTTACCGTGCCCGGCCGCCCCCTCTGACACCCTATCAGGTCTCTACCTCCCCTCGTTCTCTACGAACTTGGTGAGTGGAGCGGACCTACAGGATAGGGGGGTTGACCAGTTCACTCCTGCGAGTCAGCGAGTGACCCACTGCACGTGTGCTCGGACAGGCCGACACTTGGCCACGTTCACCCGTCGGCCAGGGTCGAGCCTGTACACCCTTACTACTGAGTCTCCTCCTGCTGCTGAGTCTGGCCAGGTAGCTGCGTCGAGTCAGGTGTTTGCTGCAGCGTCCAGGTCTGGTCCTGAGTTTGCTCCCTGCTCGTGTCGTCTACTGTCCCACCAGACTCTCCTTTGGCACCACCGCCTTGGTCACCCCTCCCTGCCTTGTCTCCGAGGCATGGCCTCCCATGTCCTTGTCTCTGGTCTCCCTCGGTCTCTCCCTCCCCTACCTCCGGGGCCTGGCCCTACCTGCATCCCCTGCGTCGAGGGGCAGCAGCGCGCCGCCCCTCACTCCTCCGAGTTTCCTCCGACAGAGGCGGGGAGTTTTCCTCTGCCCGTCTGGGAGCTTTCTGTCGTGCGCAGGGCATTCGCCAGACCTTCACACTTCCGGCCTCTCCACAGCAAAATGGGATTGCTGAGCACCGCATTGGCATGGTCATGGACGTCGCTCGTACGTCCATGATGCATGCGGCTGCCCCCTATTTTCTGTGGCCGTTTGCGGTTCAGTACGCCGCGCATCAGCTCAACCTTCAGCCCCGGGTCTCCTTGCCAGAGATCTCCCCCGCCTTGCGGTGGACCGGGAAGGTTGGCGATGCGTCTGCGTTTCGGGTCTGGGGATCTCGGGCGTTTGTCCGCGACTTGTCTGCGGACAAGCTGTCCCCCCGTGCTGTTCCCAGCGTCTTCCCTGGCTTCCCCCCTGACGCACCTGGGTGGCAGTTTTACCACCCCACCTCTCGCCGTGTTCTGTCCTCCCAGGACGTCACCTTTGACGAGTCGGTGCCTTACTACCGTCTCTTCCCCTACCGCATTGCGCCCCTCCCCCGCCGCCGCTCTTCCTTGCGCCAGGTTCTCCCCCCGTAGACCCCCTCCCCCCTCAGGGTCCTGCCCCGTCAGGTGTGTCCCAGGTAGACGCAGTCGAGCCTGTCGAGGTAGCTGTTGACTCTGGTGCTGCTAGAGGTGCTGAGTCTGCGGGTGCTGGGTCTAGGGGTGCTGAGACTGGGGGTGCTGAGCCTGGGGGTGCTGAGTGTGGGGGTGCTCAGTCTAGGGGTGCTGAGCCTGGGGGTGCTGGGTCTGGAGGTGCGGAGCCTGGGGGCGCTGGGTCTGCTCGTGTGGCCGCCGGCGGTGCTTCGTCGAGGCGGGAGCCGCTCTCTCCACAGGGTTTGCCCGCCGCTGGGGACGTGCTGCTGGAGCTGGAGGTGCTCCTGTTGCTTCTGGTCCCGGAGGTGCTCGTACTGGCGGTCCTGGAGCTGTTGGGGCCACTGGAGTTGGTCCTGCTGGAGCTGCTGGTGGTGCTGGTGCTGCAGGAGCTGGAACTGCTGGGGGTGTTGGCGCTAGTGTTTCTATTGGCGCTGGTGCGTCTGGGGGTGCTGCTCAGGCTGCTGGAGCTGGAGCTGCTGGAGCTGGAGCTGCTTGGGGTGTTGGCGCTGGCGGTACTGCTGGCGCTAGTGCTTCAGAGGGTGCTGGAGTTGGCGCTGTTGGAGCTGGAGGTGCTGCTGGCGCTAGTGCTGCCGCTGAGGGTACTGGTGCTGTCCTTGCTGGTTCTGGAGGCGCTGCGCGGCCGAGGCCGTACTTCGTTCCGCTCCCTGAGCAGGTTCTTGGTCTCCCGCCCTCTACTGGTCCTGCTCTGCGGAGATAACTACTACAACGGGAGCTTAGAGTACTGGCTAGGCACGTGTGCTCGTGTGATGTCTGCGTTCGTTGGTCCTTAGACGTTTTCCTAGTGCTCACACTGCTTGCTAGTTCACGGGGCAATTTTGGCAAGAGTTTCACTAGAGAAAGTTGTCAATGATGGTACAATGAAGTTGGCAATGCAAGACTACATCAGAGCTAGCATTCAGGTTGGTCGACTGCCAGCACAGCATGGTCGACCGCGTTCCAGCACGACTTGGTCGACCACGCTCCAGCAGTGCAAAGTCGACAGCTTGCCAACGCTGCAGGTTGACGGTGTGCCAGCATTGCTCACGCAGGACAGCAGTGCACCTGCTTTGTAGGTGCACGCAGATGATTGGCATGCAAAGTCTCGTCACCTGCACAGCGCACACACCACGTCAACCTCGGGCTAGCGACTGCCTCTGATCCGCCACGACGACCTCGGGATACCACCATGGAGGTCGGTCTCGCCAACTTCGCCTGGGTGACCGTCGCACTCCTTCGCAGAACCTCGTCACCCAGGTATCCTGGTCGACCGGGCAACTATGTCGACCAGTTGCTCCTGTCTGTGCTCGTCGACCTCCCAAGTCGACAACCACACCAGGTCGACCACTCCTCCGGTCGACCAGATCCAGGTCGACGTCACTCCTGGTCGACCAGTGCAGTTGTCAGCTACCCAAGTCGGCGTCACCAGGTCGACGCCCCTTCTACGTCGGCGCCGACTTCCAGACTGACCTCTTGAAGTTGGCGACCTCCCAAGTCGGTGACCTTGCAAGTCGGTGACCTTGCAAGTCGGCGCCGACTTCCAGGTCGACGTGCCACATCGCCGACCACCAGTTGAAGTCGGCCGCTGGCTTCCCAAGTCGGTGGTATTGCAGTGGCGCCGTGCAAGTCGACCAACCCCGTCGACCAGCTCGTCCAAGTCGGCGTCGCCCACTGCTGCAAGTCGGATGTACCTTCCGTACACCCCACCACGAAGTCGGCTCCGCCCAAGCGTGGACGGGGCCAACACACAACTCCCGTTGACATGCTCCTCCCTTAGAGTGTCCACAGCCTGTCCAGTCCCAGTCACAGTTACAGCCCACCTCCCCTCTACCTGCTCCTTCTCCCTACATTGGTCCTACTGGAGGTCTTGCTGAGCGTCGTGAGCCTGCGTCTCGTCCTGCGTCGCCTGTTCGTGCTGCTCGCACTAGTGGTCATATTGCGCGTCCGCGTCCTCCTGAGGTCCCCGGCACACACCAGATGGCGCTGCATCCTTCCACTGCTCCTCTGCGTGTCCCGTTACTGTCTCCTCCCGAGTCCTCTCTTCCTACTCTTGCTGACCCGGAGTCTGACTCTCTTCGTGGTGCTAGTCCTTCTGTCACGCGTCTTCTGGCTACTATTGTGAATGACCCTTCCTTTGAGTCCACTGCTGCGTCTGCCCTAGTTGCTGAGCTTGTCGACTTCGCTGCTCGCTGTCGTCTAGACTACGCTTCTAGTCTCGTTGCTGAGTCTGGGTCTGTCTGTCCTCCTTCCGTTAGGGGTGAGTGTGCTCTTAGCACGGACGTCCTTGAGGACAGGCAGGAGGAGTTCCAGTGCTTTGCTGCTGCTTTGCGCCATCTCGTGTCCACGCTGATCGCCCTTGAGGGAGACCTGGATGCACTAGACATCCCGACTCCTCGATCGTACGCTGAGGCGATAGAGGGTCCCTACTCCTCTCAGTGGCAGTCGGCCATGGACGCAGAGATGGCTTCCTAGAAGTCCACAGGCACCTACGTTGACGAGGTTCCCCCACCTGGGGCGAACATCGTCAGTGGCATGTGGATCTTCAGGGTGAAGCGGCCGCCGGGTTCTCCGCCTGTCTTCAAGGCGCGTTACGTGGCTCATGGCTTCAGTCAGCGACAGGGAGTTGACTACTTTCAGACCTTCTCTCCAACCTCGATGATGACCACTCTTCGGGTGCTGCTGCACATAGCTGCTCAGTGCGACTACGAGCTTCACTCTCTTGACTTCAGCACAGCGTTCGTGCAGGGCAGCCTGCACGAGGAGATCTGGCTACGCCGCCCACCTGGCTTCACTGGGTCGTTTCCTCCTGGTACCCAGTGGAGCCTCCGGCGGCCAGTCTACGGTCTCCGCCAGGCGCCCCGTGAGTGGCACGACACACTGAGGACTACACTTGCGGCTCTTGGGTTTGCTCCTTCCACAGCCGACCCGTCGTTGTTTCTGCGCACCGACACCACTTTGCCGCCGTTCTACATCCTCGTGTACGTCGACGACTTGGTCTTTGCCACTGCTGAGACTGCTGGACTCGCCCACGTGAAGTCCGAGCTGCAGAAGAGACACACGTGCACAGACCTGGGTGAACTACGCAGCTACCTTGGCTTGCAGATCACCCGGGACAGAGCACAGCGCACCATTACCCTGACTCAGTCACACATGGTGCAGCAGGTCCTTCAGCGCTTCGGCTTCACGTACTCTTCGCCTCAGGCCACTCCTCTGTTTACTCGCCACTCGCTCTCAGCTCTGCCTTCGGATGAGTCCGTAGAGCCGAGTGGCCCGTACCAAGAGCTTGTTGGCTGCCTCATGTACCTGATGACATGCACACGACCTGACCTTGCATACCCTCTTAGCATCTTGGCACGCTATGTTGCTCCTGGGAGACACCGACCAGAGCACATGGCTGCAGCGAAGAGGGTGTTGCGCTACGTGTGCAGTACGTCGGGCATGGGGCTAGTGCTTGGAGGGCGACGTCGAGTGGTCCTCACAGGTCACGCAGACGCTTCTTGAGCTGACGACCAGGCTCTGCAGCGGTCGTCACAGGGTTACACCTTCAGCCTTGGCTCCGGCTCTGTTTCGTGGCGGTCTACCCGCTCGTCTTCTGTTCTCAGCTCCAGCTGTGAGGCTGAGATCTACGCCGGGGCCATGGCTGCACAGGAGCTACGCTGGCTCACCTACCTGCTGACTGACCTAGGAGAGCCGCCTCGTTCTCCTCTAGTTCTGTACGTAGACAACAAGGCCATGCTAGCCTTGTGTCGGGAGCACAGACTGGAGCACAGAACAAAGCACATTGCTCTCCGCTACTTCCTGGCTCGTGAGCTGCAGCAGCGTGGTCAGCTCCGCCTCACCTACGTGGCCTCTGAGGCCAACACTGCTGATATCTTCACTAAGGCCCTTCCGCCTTGTGATCATCAGCGCTTCTTTACTGTGCTAGGTCTTGTGCCTACTTGGCCTCACTTGCTCACTTCTTGACATTGCTTGTACTGTGATCTTTCCATACCTGCAGTTGCTTGTTTACCTTAATATATATGATCTTGCATGTGAACTGGCCTTGTGGCCTTGCTCTTGTGCTCGGACTGTGTGGTGACGTTGTGATCCACCCTGAGCTTGCTTTGCTTTGCTTGACTGGTCTTGTGACCCCTTGTTCTCCCCCACTCTGCCTATGGGGGTGCGTTAGGCATATATGCTATAGTGTGTGTAGGCTGTAGTGGGGCAGTTCATATGGGGCACAACACTTTAGGGTTTGCTACTTGTACTCCCCTTTCTGCTCAATGCATTCATTCTTGTTTCTCGTCACCACCAGCAGCTCCAGCAGCTCCAGTACATCCAGCAGCACCAGCAGCACCTCCAGCAGGACCAGCTTTAGCAGCTCCAGCCGCACCCCCAGTCCCAGCAGCTCCAGTACCGCCAGTACGAGCACCTCCAGGACCAGTGGCTCCAGCACCTCCAGCGCCAACCCCAGGGTCAGCAGCTACACCAACTCTAGTAGGCCCAGCGTCCTCAGTTCCAGCTCGAGTAACACCTCCGGCGTCCACACCACCACGTCGGCGACGACAGTACTGAGAGTACCACTCACGCAACTGCTGGGAAGAGAGAGCGCCCCCAGGCGCAACACCCCCAGGCTCAGGACCTCCAGGCTCTGCACCCCCAGGCACAGCACCCCCAGGCTCAGTACCCCCAGGCTCAGCACCCGTAGTCTCCGAACCCCCAGGCTCAGCACCCGCACTCCCCGCACCCCCAGGCTCAGCACCCGCAGTCTCTGCACCCCCAGGCTCAGCACACCCAGTCTCCGCACCCCCAGGCTCAGTACCCCCAGTCTCAGTACCCCCAGACCCAGCACCACCAGGCTCAGCAAGCTCAGGCTCAGCACGCTCACGCTCAGCACGCTCAGGCTCAGCACGCTCAGTACCTCGCGCAGGACCAGAGTCGACAGCTACCTCGACAGGCTCGACCGGGTCTACCTGGGAAACACCTGAGGGAGTAGGACCATGGGGAGGCAGGGG